TGTGTGTGTGTGTGTGTGTGTGTGTGTGTGTGTGTGTGTGTGTTTTGCAGGGAGGGAAGGATGGTATAGCCCAGACTATAAGAGAGGTATTAGGGAAGAGGAGCCGAAGAGAGAACAACTATCCAGAGATGCCCGGAGAGAAGCAAGAGGCAGCTGCAGAAACCTAGAAAGAATATCCATGTATGAACATGCTTAAAAGAAGCCATCAAGTGAGACTGGAAACCGATGGGTTCCTCAACAAAAAGACCCAAAATAAGCCTTGTAGGAGGGGCTCGGGTAAAAAGATCAGAGGCACCTTGCTGACCAATGTAAACCCTGGGGGGCAGGGGTCACAAGACAGGCTTCTATTGCTTGCTAGCCATCTTGTTCCTTCCCCTCCCCCCAGGAGAGAAACTTGACTCCTAGGCCAGGTGAATTAACATCCTCTTGGAGCTAATGACTCAGGCATTACAGAGCTCAACTTCCCACAGCCTCTGGGGTGCGGCACAGCTCACTTGCCCAATAACGGCCATAGATAGCCAGCAACTAAGTTCCAATTGTAAACTTCGCTTATATAGCAGCTCCTGTGTTCATGATGTGAAAATGGTGGATGGACAGAGCTGGAGAAATTACTCAGCACGTAAGAGCGCCTGCTGTGTAAATCATAGCGGATCCCAACACCCATATCACATAACAAGCACCCACGGAACAAGACAGGTGTCCTGCTATGGCCTAGGACCTCATCTCCGGGCAGGAGATGGGGTGGAGTGGGGGCGGGGCGATGGGGTGGGAGGTGGAACGGGAAGATCACTGAAGCTTGCTGGCTCCCAACCTAGCCAAGAAGGCAGGAAGCCAAGATTCAGGGAGAGATCTCGTCTCAAAGGAACAAAAGAGAGTGGTAGAGGACAACACTCAGCACTCTTTTCTGGAATGCACGTGTGTGCACTACACACACACACACACACACACACACACACACACACACACACACACACTTTGAAGAAAAGAGACAGCAACCAGGGATGACATCCCTGGAGTACGTACAGCATGTCTGCCTTTGTCTTGCTGAGCCTTCCAGAACTGCTCCCTGCTGGCCTACGATGCCATGTCTTGCTCTCGAGGTTGTGACAGACTCAAGCATAAAACAAAGCATCCCTACACAATAAGAGAGACACAGGGTAAAAGATTTCACCAGTAAAGGAAAAATGCAGTAGTTGATGACTTTAAGACCGGAAGCTGATATCTGGCCCCACCCACAAGGTGACGGAACTAGCACAACCTATAGTTTGGGCTCACGACACCTAGGACGGCTGGAGGAGTAAACAATCGTACGTACGGGGACTCCCAGGGACACTCGTAAGTTCTGAGGAGGGAGAGACTAGACAGGCGGTCTGTTGTTTTTTTGTTTCTGTGACAAATATACCCCACCAAAAGCAATTTGAGGAAGG